GTGGGACGGCGACTGGCTGGCAGCACCGGCAGACGTTTTCTTCGAGCTCTTTAGCTTCGTCGGTCCCGCGGACGATAGGACAGACGGTCCCAGCCAGTCAGTAGGGCTGGAATCCTGCGAGACCCAGGCGACCATTAATTCAGACGTGAATTGCCGGTTGAGCACAGGCGCAAGAAGTGAAATGCCGCGAGTCCCAACACTCACAGAGGATGAGTTCGAGTGCACTGAGATGGAGTTACGACGAGCTGGGGCAAGGTCTGCAGAGGTGGTGGCGGAGAGGTCCTCATCAGCAATACCGCCTCCACCGCCAGCACCGTTTGCTGAGATGGCTGAGAGATTGGGTTGTGTGGGAGAAGAGTCCAGAGGGGGACTCCAGGAACCCAGTGGGTGCTCCAGCGTCCCTTTTGAGGACAACTCAAGGGTGAGGTTCTTGCGATTTCTGGGGTCTGGACAGCTAGTGCTCTCGTTGGCGACTAGCATGCCCGCGGTCTCGTTTCCGTCCTCGTGAAAGTCTGTGTGAGAAGTGATGGAGTGCCCACGAACACCCCACGGTCGGCGTGTTTCGTCCTCCTGTGGATAGGAGAGGAATAGAGGCAAATAAATTGAATTTGATTATGTCTAAAATGATGATGATCACCGCCGGAAGATCCTGACCATGCAATCGGCTGACAAGGATGAACAGTGAAGCCGTCGGACAAATAATAATTTAGTTTTCCTGCACTGCATAAAAGACAGCGCGGCGGGTGGCAACATTTACCCAACGAAAAAGGCTTTGGATAACACTTTTACGATGGCAATCAGAATTGACTAAACCGTTAAGTAGAGGCAAGGACTGCTAGCGTAATCACTTACGCAGTACGACAGTCTATGAAGATCTGTCGCCGGCCGAAGCATTGCTAAGTAGTCACCACCAAATGAACCGATGGGGCGACTACTTGTGAACCCCCCCCCTGCCCCGGAGTCCAGAATGTTGTGGCGCCTTTTGCATGTTTTTTTCGACTCTATCTTTACACCGCATTCATGGAAGGGGGAGGCAGAAAGGGAGTGCAATGGATGCCGCGCAAGTCTACTATCACTTTAACTCATGTGAAAGTCGCTGTCCCTGTTCGCACCTCGCTGTAGAGCACATCGTCGGCAGACATCGTCCAAACCGAAGGTCGAACCCTCACTTGCAAAGACAGAAGAAGAGAATTATGGTCTAGCTACCATCTCTGGCAGGTTAAGACTTAATCTCTGGACCGGAACAAATGAAACGCGGGCCCTAACACAGTTGGTCATGGAGCGATGCGCT